CTGCTCCTGGCAAGTCCGGCACGACACCTGGCTCCCAACGCTGAAGTACTCGCCCGGAGGAGCCGCCATCTTGCGAGAGCAGCCGCGGCCGGCGGCGGCGGCGGCAGCAGCGGGCGAAAGCCGGGCCCCCAGTGAGCGCCGCGACGCGACGTGACGCGACGCACGGGGCGTGCTGATGTCACGCGTCTGGGCGTGGCCTGGCGCTGGGTGGGGCGGGAGCCTAGGTGGAAGAGGAACGAGGAAGCAATCCAGGGGGAATCTCTAGGATGCCTCCGGCGCGGCGCCGGCCTTGGCAAGTGCTCGCCGGGCCCGTGAAAGACAGGTGACCCACGTGGACCAGAACAAGGGAGAGACCTGCAGGCTCCGTGACGTGCACACCTTGCACGCGACGAGAGGGTAATGAGCGGACTCTGGAAGGTGTTCAATCCCTCATTGACATGTGAGGAATTCCCCAGTCGCCGCGGATTTGACGAAACTCGCTCCAGATACTTACACCGATGTGCAGAAATGGTTGTGGAAAGAAAATTGACCATAGCTTTTGATACATGGGAATCGGATCCCAGGTCGGCCACTTACTACTTACTGGTGTGACTGACCTTGGGCAGATGACAAAATCCCGATCAGTCCGTTTCTTCACGTGCACCCATTTTTATCACCAATTGAGCATCCAACAACCCTTTGAGGTGGGAATCAAGAGTCCCATTTTACAGATGAAGAAACCAAGTCTTCGGCTGAACTCGTTCAAGGTCATACCGCCGCGGGCTTCCAAGGAGGTGACAGTCCCTGCTGTAATAAATTAGATCGTTGCTACCTCACAGAGTCCTTACAAGGTTTCCGTGAGATGAGAGGCAGGTGAAAAGCTGACTTACAGCAACCCTATAAAACGGAGTAAAACTGCCCTGTGGGCTTCCCTTAGTCTGCAAATCTTTAGGAGAACCGAACGTCTCATCTTTTACACACACCCCCAGCAGCTGCCTGGTAGTTTCAAATGGATGACCTTTCCATTAGTAAGGAGCAGAAGTCACTCACTCCTAGGGCTTCTTACAAAAAGAAAACACAAACTCCCTGCCATCAAGTGGCTCCTGGCTCCCAGAGTAGAACTGTGTGCCCCGTGGGTTTCCAGTCTTCACTGGGGCAGACAGCCTCATCTTGCACCTGAGGAGCAGCAGGTGGTTTCCAACTGCCAGCCTTGCATGACCCACCACACTACCAGAGCTCTTACCAGGTAGAAGCTCCTCAGGAAGTGTCTAATCAATGGAACTTCCCTGGTCTTTGACCATGACACTTCAGACACTTCTCCATCCTCCTGGCTCCCTTCCCCAGCCAGCCAGGCAAAGGACGGGGTGGGGAGCAGTAACAGTGCCAGGGAAGACCTTGGGGTGCTGGGCCTCTGCTCTCTTCCTTTATTCATCTCTATCTGATGTCCAAAACAATTGCTTTAAAAAATTTATTAAAAATCATTTTATTGGGGGCTCAATTATTGCTTTCTTAACCCTATATAAGGTACTGGGCAGTACTCTATTTTCAAGACCCCTAACCTCCCAACCAACTGCCACCTTGAACCCACCCAA